TTTGATTTCTTTCGCGATCTCTTCTTCTGATATCCGTTCCAGTGCCGATCGCTCGCGGCCCACCGCAGCTGGCTTAACTTTTTGAGCTACTCGCTTGTGTCGCTTAAGGAGGCCCCCATAGGGGGCCGTGCCCTTAAAAAAGACACGGATACCACACTGCCAAATTCCTCATCTTTTTCCTTCGGGTACGAATTGTCGTCCACTATTAGCCGGCTTCCTAAATCTTCTACCTCCACCATCCTACCTTCTTCCTCTGTGAGCAGTGGTCCATATCTCTTCTCGCGAAATCGCACCGTGCGGCCGGAGATGGGTAAGGACTTAATCTGATCACTGGGTCTTGCACCCACAGCGAGAGCTGCTCTGTTCCTCGGGTCCCGAGGCTCCACTGTCTCTATCATTACCCGTGTCCCGTCTGGCTTCTTAATGGACAACGTTTGGCTCCCATCAGGCCGCTCTATCGTCACCGCATGCACGTGGCTCAGCCACGTTCGACCCAAGAGCAGGTCGGAGCTGCAGTTCTTGACTGCAAAGACAGGCAGGGTCACTCGTACCCCTTGGACCTCTATGGCTGCCTTGTAACAAACCCCAGTGATCTGTTGCTTTCTGCCATCATCCGTCTCTATCTCGAATAGGTACGACCTGTCGAGGCCCAGTCCAACCTGTACKGCCAGGTCCTCGTTTATGATGACAGTCTCACTGCCGTTATCGATCACAGCATCGAGTACCGCTCCATCGTTTATAATCGTCTCCACAGCCCCGCTACCAAGTATATAAAACTTGTCTGGAGGCACACCTTTCATCCCATCGAGAAGGACTGTCGCCATGCGATCCGCTCTAGCAGTCACCCCCGTTACTGCTACTGTAGAAGCTTCCGCCTTAGGGGCCCCCAGACCTTCCTCCGACAGAGGTATGCGGGTCTTCCGCGTTATCATCTGTAACTCATCACGAGCCGGCTTCGATGCCGTTAGGTACTCCAGAATAGAGCACTGCATGGGTTGCCGAAGGGCCCGCCTCAGTGGCTCGACCGTGTCAATCTCGTCCAACGAACTCTTCATTAAGAACTTCTTGACTCCCCGCTTTGCGGTGAAAGGATAACCTCCTCTCCATCGACCCGCTGCCCGTCCTTCTCCGCCATCACGTAATCCGTGTCAGTTTTCTTCGATGTAGACCCTGTCGCCGACTTGGTGGCTGCCACCCTCATGGGTGTGGTCGCCATGTCCCCCTCAAAGGTTATCTTGATGCTCTGACTCCTGACCGGCTCCATTCCTTTACTCGTCTTTATTCTCCTTGCTTCAACATTCTCGTTCATCGAAGGGAACATCGATACATCTCCGAGGTCATCTGCCCACTTGACGTACTTGCGGTCSTCAAGCACGACAAGTCCCTCTTCTATTGCCCGTTTGAGGTCCGGGCAATCCCTCTTGATATGATCTTCTCCTCTACAGTAGACGCATGATTTCCTCGGAGTAGATGCCCTCTCGTCTGCGCCTCTAGAGATCAAACTCCTGGCCGCTTTGGGGTCAGGCGACCTGTGATATGGTTCTGATGAGACGTCATATCCCCCTCTCTCATTCCGACTGCGCGGATCGTTGCGCCGGTCTCCTCCAAACCCTACTTGGTCATACCGCCCTCGCGAATCATCCCGGCGGTCCCCCAAGTTATATCGTCCTCGTGACTCATCGCGTCGGTCCCCTCGGTTGTACCATCCTCTCGTCTCGTCGCGTTGTTCTCTCGCATCTCCCCCGCGCTCATACCGTGCGCGTGACCCATCTTGTCGTTCCCAGTCCCGATCTCCTCTCTCATATCTACTTCCTTTGTAGCCATCTCGACCCGACCTCTCGTATCTGTCGTCCCTATATCCATCCCGGTCCGATCTCTCGTATCTGCCGTCCCTCTCCAACGGCCACGAGAGTCGCCTCTACCCCGATCGGCCTCATAGCGAGGGCTTCGGAGGTAATCATCTAGCCTCCTTGCTCGCACAAACAGCTCGCGATCTCTGCGGTCTCGGTCTATCTCATCGTCCCTACGTCGCCATAATTCATCGTCTCTCTCTCTCYCCCYSGTACGATAATCAATCAGCGTCCGAGGATTTCTATTCTCGACACTCCTCCAGGGATCGTTGTTCCTACGGTCCCAGCGAAGTGAATAGGGCCCTCCAGGTTTGTCTCGGTAGGCCGTGACCCCTATGGCGGTCACAATCTCTGAAACCTGTCTCGTTAATCCCTTCACCATGTCCCGTATCTCCTTCACTTCCTCAGCCACGGCCTCATTCTTCTCTGACCAGGCATAATCCTTGAAATCAGGACATCTATCAGTGGCATACTCCTTGTAGAGAGAGAAGTCACGTCTCCTCATCCCTCTCCACACCAAGTCCTTGTAATCGTCTGCCTCGGCCTTTATCGCGAGCTTTAGGACTTCTAGGAAATCAAGCCTGTCGCGCGGAAGATCTCTAAGTATACTCTTTTGCCTACCTTTGGACAAGTGTCCGATGAAGATAGTACAACGCTCGACCTCTGAGATCTTTCCCTTCTTCATCAGCACGTCGGAGATCTTTTGGAAACGCATCCCAAATGCCCGTACGCTCTCATCTTCATCTTGAGTCATTGTTTCAAGGCCCTTTCTTATACACATCTAGATGTGTATAAGAGACAGAATCAAGCCTGTCGCGCGGAAGATCTCTAAGTATACTCTTTTGCCTACCTTTGGACAAGTGTCCGATGAAGATAGTACAACGCTCGACCTCTGAGATCTTTCCCTTCTTCATCAGCACGTCGGAGATCTTTTGGAAACGCATYCCAAATGCCCGTACGCTCTCATCTTCATCTTGAGTCATTGTTTCAAGGTCCTTGATGGAATACTTGTTRTCCTCCARTTTGTAAAGYTCAACGAGRTTCTTCTTGTACGTWGTCCATYTCCCATCCTTCGGTCGAGCTTCCTTAACTTCYCTWCCRAGACTTGGGTCCACATTAAATAGGAAGTTCTCTATAATCTCTTCCTCCGACCACTGACTCCGGTTGGCGTGAAGCTCCCACTTCTCCAGATATTCTGTGATACCATAACCCCTGAAGGTAGGAGGCTCTGAGACCTTGTGCGTAATAATATAGCGGTCCTTGCTCTCGTAAGGGAGCGGATGTGACTCCCCTGTCTGGGGGTCGAAAACTCGCCTGGGCGGCGCCCTGTCTCTATCTCTGTCCCTCCAACAGGAATCCTTCAAACTCTCCCTCCAGTCGTCTCTGTGCCTATCCGCTATGGTGTCTCTCCGCTCGTACTCGGGGGAGCGTCGTTTCTCGTCGTCCGCTCGAGGTACCCGTCTTTAGAGCCTTCTGTGGCTCTGTCGCAACTGGTTCACCTCTCATGTCGGGCCCTCCGTCATTGGTTTGGTCAGCCCATCTTAGCGGTGCTTCTTGCCTAATTCGTTCCTTCAGTTCCCTCAGTGCTCGATCGGGCGATGCCCTGTACTCTTCTCCCGCTTCGCCCGTGGTCGGTTGTGGCCCCATCGTGTCGGGTTCCATTGGACCGTCAGAAGATGCAGTTAGGTATTCTAGCCAACTGTTACAGCCCGATCCTATGACAGTCGCTGCAGCCCGGACCTGTGACAATTGCGGCAGCCTGGACCTGTTTCTTTATCACGACTCGCGTCCGCCTCCAATCTTAGCTCTCGACTGCCTTGATTACCACTTCCAGTATCCCGTACCGGTCGCAGATCTTGTGTTCTCTCTCTATCTTAAGAATCTCTGTGTCTAAGTAACCTCTCCTTCGGGTTCGGTCAACAAGGTCGTGCCTGTCCGGATCCACAGTACGCCCGTGGCAGGACCTCTATCCTTGAGACGGATTTTAATCCCAAATCTAGCCAATGTCTCCTGATCAACACTTCTCAAGAGTTCCTGAGCGTGTCTCTCCGTCCTCCTTGCTAGTTCTCCTAGCCCAGTCTGAATYGGTTAGCCCGCTAAAGGCCCTCCTACTGTCGCCCAATGTCGCCGATCGACCTTTCTAGCTTCCTCTATCCTTCCAAGAGCTTCCAATTTCTATTTCCACTACCTTATGTCCTCAACAGTTACGAGGCCATCTGTCTAACAGCTGAGGTAAGTTAGTGCTATAACGACTTGTAACCTCATCGCCGACCGCTCCAGTATGTCATAAAATGTCTCAAAGTCCTCACTATCTCCTCCTTCGTTTATCGCCTCTAAAGTCTTYATCGTTTCCTTCCAGTACCGGTTGTGAGCGGCTAACACCCTGAGTATTGCACCATCTGTTACAACTCTCCCTAACTCTTCAGCTTTCCTGGCCTCGCTTATCTTCAACCTCTCAGCCTCTCGGGTCGTCCGCATCTTTCTCCAGCTCACCCTCTCACCCTCGCTCTAGCCTCCACTACCGTCTCATCGTGGTAGTGCTCCGCGCGCATATAACCATGAGACCATATCATCACATCATAGGAAATCGAGGTCTGGAAGGTCACTCGCGCTAGTACATCAGCTCTACGCTCGTGGATTAAATGCCTAGCTCGTTGTCTGCACTCACTCGCCGTCAAGTCCTCGTCTACGTACGCTCGGAGAAGTACTGTAACAGTGTATCCTGTGCTTACCAGTTGCTCTTCTACACGCATCACCGTGGCCGTCCTTCCCGGCATTCCCTAAGCTGCGACCTCGAAGAGAAATCTCGCGTCCTCTAACCCCGCGTAATGAATCTCTGTCTGTCTCCTGCAGTACCTAATCAGATCGATGGGCCTCAGACAGTCTACGCAGCTTGTAACATCTATGATGTCGTCAAGCGTCTCTCTACTGGGCGGTCCCCACCTCACACAAACGGCGTAGTATACTTCCTTGAAGCGGGGCGCTAAGCCCTCCCAGAGCGCGTAAAGTGTGTGATCCACTGCTCTCCTCAAACGATCTACGCTCCCATAGGTTTGCCCTATCACGAAGGTAGGTACTCCGAATCGCCAATCCTTTCTCGGGTAGACGGTCGGATGTGGTGGGCCATATACCAAGCAGCTCCTACTCGTCCTCCCTCCAGCGAGTCTCGCCAATTGCTGATTAACGATCACTCTGGCCAACGACTCACTTCTCCACCAACTCCTGCTCGCCCCTGCGAGCGTTAGTCCTATCTCTAAATCGTGTGCTCTATCCGCTATCAGATGTCCGACCCCTTCTAGATCATGAGTCCTTTCGGGTCGTTCGTCTCGTAGTATCACTGTCCATAGGAAGAGCCCCTCTGCGAGCCACGTTCCCAAGTATCGTATCGGTACACGCCCTGCCTCTTCTAACGCCACAGGAAGTGGTATGTCGTATCCAACCGCCGTCTCTCTGGGTCCCACAAGCTTCCCCACACTATACGATTCGGACTCTCGTGAGAAAACATAAGCTAACCAGGCCGCTAAATCACTCCTCATTTCTTCTCCTACTCTCGGCCAGCATCGCTCTACTCCCTCCGATACACCCCATCTCTCGACGCTACTAACCCTTCTGCCAACTCTCGCACTCAGGTCCAGTATGGTCGAATAGGTTCAGTAACCAGGCTCACTCATCCGTCGCTCTGGCGCGCTCCTCTACCTCCTACGTCCGGACTGCTACCCCTATCATGGGAAAATGGGCGTCTATAACGTCAATCTCCTCCTCGTCAACCTCCCTCTCTGGGTCGATCCACTCCGGTCCCCACAGCTCCTCGTCGTCCTCTCGCTTCCAACCCTCGTCGTCAAACTCGTCCTCGACGCGGTATGGCGCCTGTCCTATGGCCTGGTAGTATTCCGTCAACTGATGACCGTATATCAGAGGTCGCCCGGCGTCCTCATTCCACCAGCTCCCCCAGTCGTCTAAGAAGAGCCGCCCGATTCAAGTCACGTACTCGGGGCCTGCTCGGAGCTCACGGTCCAGCCAATCCCAAACGCACGGAGACTGGGGCCACTCGTCGTCTATGGAGCGGATCAGCTCTATAAGTTGAACCCTCTCGTCTCCCCAACGAGGCCCACCAGTCGCGAGCGAATAATAGATATAGTCTAGGTCGGCAGGTCTTCTCCCCAGGATCTTGAGATCCTGATAAGCCAGGTATGTCTCGACCACTCCTCCAACACCTCCAAAGACACTCTCTACTACGAACGTCGGAACTATTGCCCGCAGGCTCCTAACGCTGTATGGGAAAAACCCGTCTCGTGCTACCTCCAGCTCGCCCGTGATATCAAGAGGAGGACGTCCGTGAAATAGCGTCAACGGGTCGATCGAGTCCTCCGCTCGGAAGGCCGCTAACTCTTCCCCTAAATAGCGTAACGCCCTGCTAACTGCGTCACTAGTCCCTGTCGTCGCGAGGCCCATCACGGCCTCCCTGACCGCACTCGGTCCCAAATACAAGTAGGCTCTCACTACGCCTACTCCTTGCCCCGGCCGGTGCTCTCTGTACGTCCAAAGCCACACGTCCTCGGACAGGATTATGGACCTCCACGCAAACTGGGCGTCAGAGTGTCGAATGCTGCGTCCGGGGATCGTGAGCTCGACCAGACCCCCCTCTATGAGTTCAGGGGGCTCTAAGTCCCAGTCAATGGTAGCCCCATAGACCTCTACTTGCACCTGCGGCCACATTCAACTGGCGGCTAGAGAGAACACAGCAAGCGGAAGGTGTAGATTAATAACTGAAATTTCGCGTCGCTTGCCTCACACCTTCGAGAACAAGATAGTAGGTTCACCTGAAATTACGTTACCGCAACGTCTCTTTCCCTTCTCCTTCTAGGGAATTCTTTTGTATTTTTCAATTATAAATTAAAGAAAATGTATTGTGTTAAGACAAAATTTCTTTCCTAGTTTATATATATTAAGGATCAATACTTATTTAAGCACGCCGCGTTTGATAATTTTTTAGGGGTAAAACTTGGGGAATTTACTAAAATTGAGGCAGCGTTTCGCCTCCCCCCGTTGGGATGGGGTTC